CTGGGCATAAAGTTTCCTCAAATGAGGGCAGAGTCTGGAAACCAGGGTTTAGTTTCAGGTCACTTTTTAAACCTCCTTTCCCCTTCCTCCCCACCCCCAACACACACACAAATATAATGTTAACTGTGGGGCTGATTCTTCTTCCAGTTACCAAGTTATTTCTCCCACTTACTCCTTCCAGTTGCTAACAAGTTTGTTTGCCAAGTGCATGAACCCTATGTGGAGGCATCGTGGAATTGCTTCCAAGTTATGCAACGATGTTAGCACCTTTCAAGGTGTGAGACATAGAGGTCATGCGAGGAAATCCCTAGGGAAAGTCAAATTTGAGAAGAAGATTGAGGCCAAAGTTATTATTTTGCTTTTGTGGTTGTTGGGGCAACCAGTAAAGCTGAACTGCAGAAAAAGAACATATAAATTGTGTATATATTTTGCACTGGGTGGGAACTACTCTTGCATTCAAGTATAGATTGTAGGCATGCACTCAAACTGTAGCTCGCTTTAAAGTTATGCATATGAGGAGTGAACATTTCAGGGACCTGTTAAAGAGCTGCTGAACGTCTAAAATTAATCTATAATCCACCTATAACTACTGACCACAGTCGATACCATCTGATAATTTATGGGTGGCCTTTGCAAGGTGAGGTTGTTGATGCGGACAGATGCTGAAAACATCAAAATCACTGTTCATTAGTACCTCATTTGGTAATCTCATCATAGAGGCAGAGCTATTCTAAGAGTCCTCTAGGTCACAAATGAGGCACACAGAGACAAAAGAGTGTTTTAGCATGATGGAGACACTTATACATGGAGCTTCAGTTTTCAGCATTGTTAAAATGGCCCCTTTCACGTGAGCCAAAACCAGAATTACAAATAACTTCACTTTCCTGTACGGAAATAGAGAGACACCAGGTCCATCTATTCTGATTTCCCATTTCAAAGAGTAACCAGTACCAGTTGCTTGACAGGAAGGTCAACCCAATAGGCAATTTTTTGATTACTTGGTCTCCAGAAAGATTCTTCTTAATCTTTTATAGTCAGAGGCTGCCTGATGGCCAGAAGTATAAAAGTTTATATCACTTTCCAAGTTATTTTAAAAATATTATTGTAGTTACAGATGCTGTTGAAGATTATATAGACATCCAGTACTACATTTTGCATCCTGTAAAGCAGGGGTGGCCAAAATATGGCCCATGGGCCAGATTCAGCCCACGAGGCCATTCTATCTGGCCTGCGGGACCCCTAAAAATTTTAGAAAATTAATATTCATCTGCCCTTGGTTCCTGTCAAAAATGACAGGAACCAAGGGCAGTAGGACCCAGGGCAAGCCTGGCAGGCTCCCATGACATCAGGGCCCAACCAGCCCACCTTCCCCCCCCAGCTGGAAGCCCCAGCCAGGGCTTCTGGCCTGGGAGCACGTGACTGCCCCACACCGGAACCACAGGTAAGGGGTGGGGAGGGGAGGACCCTGAGCAGGGAAGGAGCCTGGGGAAAAGTGGCCCAGGGAAAAGCTGAGCATGGGGTGGGGGGAAGTGGCCCCTCACCTGCCCTGCACCTGGTGCCCCACGCTGCAGCCCCTTGCAGCTCACATGGGGCTGCCTGTGCCTGCTCTGGATAGCCCCGCAGGCTGTGCGCAGCTGCAGCAGGAAGCACTGGCCATGCGGTGAGGGAGGGGCTGCTTTTCCCTGTGCTCAACTTTTCCATGGGCTTCTTCCTGGCATGGAGGAGAGTGGCTCCTCCCCCCCCCCGTAGCCAGTGCCCCACTCTGCAGCTGCTTGCAGCCCACGTGGGGCTGTCCAGAGTAGGCACAGGCAGCCCCAGGTAGGCTGCAAGCAGTTGCAGTGTAGAGCGCCGGGCACAGGGCAGGTGAGGGGCCACTTTCCCCCTCACCCGCGCTCAGCACCACCTTGTGACCCAGCCCAAGTGCCAGACTGGGCCCTGTGCTGCCTCCAAGCTCACCAGTTGGGGCTGCTCATGGCGGCTTTAGCTGTGGCCCCTCTGCTTGCTGCGCTGGATGGTGTTTGCCACTGTCACCTCTGGGCTACCCAGCGCGCAAGCTCCAGGTGGGCAGCAGCAGCCAACACTGCCTGGTGCGGCAAGTGGGGGGGCCACAGCTGCTGCTGCTGCTGACAGGCAAGCCCAGAACTGGCTTGGAGCCCAAGCTGGTAGTGGGGCTGGGTTACAAGCTGGTGCTGAGCATGGGGAAAAATGACCCCTCGCTTGCCCCGTGGCTGATGCCCCACATTGTAGCCGCTTGCAGCCCATGTGGGGTTGCCTGTGCCTGCTCCAGACAGCCCTGTGTGGGCTGTGAGCACCTTCAGCAGGGAGTACTGGCCATGGGGTGAGCAAGGGGCTACTTTTCTCCGTGCTCAGCACCAGGTTCCTCCTTGCCAGCGAGCAGGGGATCAGGGCTGTGTGCCACCCCCAATGTTACTGCAGGGCTGGGGGGCACTGGGAGTGAGTGGGCAGGGAGCCAGCAGGAGCACGGGGCCCACACCGGTGCCCCGGGGCCAGTGCCGTTGGGGCCCAGAGCTGGGTGGCAGGAGCGTGGGGTCCCAGCCACCAGGAGCTCTATGGAGCCAGGCCAGCTCCCCCTCTCCCTGCTGGTGCAGCCCAGCCTGGCTCCACAGACCCCTGCCAGCCTGTGCCCCGCTTTGGACCCCACTGGTGCTGGCCCTGGGACATTGGTCCCAAGATGGCCACCAGGGGGCGGGAACCTGTCAAGGGGCAGGGCTGCCCATGCAGCCCTCAACAGCCTACCAAAAGTGGGTAAGCGGCCCTCCACCCGAAATAATTGTCCGCCCCTGCTGTAACTGTGGCAATGAGTTCCACAAGCGTAATGTGAATTCAACAATTCCTTTTATGAGTTTTATGTTTGCTCCCTTTCAATTTGATTCAATGTCTCCTTATTTTTGCATTATGAGACAAACTTAATAGAAATGCCCAATCTTCCATCCCTGTGTGATTCCTTATTTGATATACTTCCTTTATCTTCTCATTGTCTTCTGTATGTTACAGCAGGAACAATAAATAATTTATTTTTTATTGAAGTTATTTTTGACTGAATAATAATCCCTACTTTTATCTCTAGGAGTCTGGATTTTATTTTTTTCATTTCACAGTTTTAGATCTTCATTAAGGACATGTCAACATAGCATTATTTAATACTGCACAGAGATACCTTACCTAGTGCTGGACAAGTTACCTTGGGTCCTAGAAGCCATATATAAACATTAAGACAACTTTCCATTTAGGCTAATTAATGCTGAAAAGCATATATTAGCCTACATGGAGTGTCCTACTTGGATGCATGTACACAAGTGCGGAGGCTGCTCCAACATGCTGTAATTACAGTGTATCGGAGCAGATTCGATTAATCAAGTCTGCTGGAGCATGGTAATTACCATTCTCCAGCCAGCCCCCGTGTCTTATAAGCTTTAGTTTAAGTGTCCCCACCGCCATTTTGAAGTACGGGGAAGGTAATACACGAAGTGCTGCAGTGCTTTAATGAATATGGCTCTCATAGCCACTCTAATTACAGTACTGCCTCCCATGCACCCCCAGAGCACGTGCCCAATATGTCTACACTGTTTCTGCTACCTGAGCTAGTTCATTCAGAACTAGCTTCAGGGCCTTTGCACAGCACTGGATTATGGCATGTACATAGAGCCTAAATGTAAATGGAAAACAATGATGGCCTCCACAAGCCATAAAAAGGGTATAGTACCAAAATTACTGGTAGGTCTTCCAGGATGCCCAGGAACAGAGACGACCCAAGCAGGGTGTGGGGTCTGGGACAAATCAGCCTGTGCAGGGCCCTGCCCCCAGACACAAAGAAGCCGGTGACAGATTTGGTGGGAGGGGGTGGGAGGGGGAGTGTTGAGGGGGCGGTGACAGATTTGGTGGGAGGGGGTGGGAGGTGGAGTGTTGAGTGGCTGAATGCACCAGATTGGGTGGCAGATTTGGTAGTGGGGGTGAGGGGTGCCGAGCAGCCAGACATGAAGCTGGCGGTAGCGCAGAGTCACCGTGGCCACTCCGTCCGACTCTGCGGGGCTCCCCAAAGTGCAGGGCCCTGAGCGGTTGCCCCGATTCGCACCCCCCTCCCTGCTCCAGGGACAGCCCTGAAGAGGGACATGGTTAAGTTTATGTGCTGAAACTTGTCCTGGTATCGATGTCATAGAACAAAACATCCAGCATTATTAATACCTTATTTAATTTATGCTGCAATATGCACAGTCAGGCCTCATGCGCTGAATATTATTAAGACCAGCAAATAGTTTTTAACTTCCATTCATGTCAGAAGTTAACTGAATCAGAAATGGAATATGCATTTTGAAGTGTTGCTAATTTACAGAGCAGTCCTCTGCATGGCTTTCCTGACATCTTACGCATTGGTGTTTCTGTATTCAGCCTTATGCTTTGAATATTTTTCTTTTTGCTTCCTAGGCATCCCAGAACTTTTTCACTGGATCTGTTTAAACATCCTGCTATGTTTATTAAGGTAAGCATATTTGAGAGAAACTGAGATGGTTTTTCACTTTGCTGTATAAAATCAATTAAGAATTCATGGTTTAGTGATGGTGGTGGAAGGACCAGGAGGGGGAAAGACTGGTGTGTCAGGTGAAAAAGCTAATTTCCATGTCAAACAAACTAGGTGGATAAAGCAGTTAATTTTTTGCTTTTACTTGGCTGTCAGACCATAAACAGGTCAGCTCTGATGGGAAACGCGTCCTCTTTATGTGCACCAGATGCCTGGGTATACACACAGCCTGTAGTTCAGATGTCTTTGTAATCAGCATGCTAGTTGCATGTATTCAATCGCCCTCCCTGGAAGCTGTCTGATTCCTTTGTGAATTCACTGACGACAGTCAGCACCTTACAGGATCAGTCCCTTGTATATCTAGATATACAACCTTCAGTTTTACTAGAGCAGAGAAAAACTGATGAAATAGAAAGTACATAAAAACTGCCATTTAATGGGTCAGACCACAGGTCCACTTTCCCCAGTGTCCTGGCCGAGGAAGTACCATGATCACAATGCTGGTTTTCTCAAGGTGAGGCTCACCCCTTGCACTCCTGGTGTGCTGACACCTGCAATTTCCCCAATTGTGGGAAACTCAATTGCATAATTTGTGGTCAGGGGTGGCTACATTTGCACTTTCCCCTAAATTTATTTCCCTTCAATGCACTAGTTGTAAAGCCCTGTCCACTCCTGTCCCTGTTTTGTTATCTTTTGTCCCCAAGAATCCTTTGTCACTTTCCAAGAAGTCTCCCTTTCCAAGGGGAGCTTATAGTTGCAGCTGGTGGGCTTTTGCCTACACCCCCTAAAGTGCAAATAGGCCTATGTCACACATCCTTGTGCCAGCAGGGGGAGACCCTGGTGCACTCCCACCTCGAGTGCACCAGGTTGCCGCCCCTCTTCCATCTCCTCCAGAACCTCCTGCTGAGCTTCTGGCTGCACTTTCCCCTGCACCTTTTGTGTTATGCACTCCCCTTCTGTGGCCCCACCAAACCCCAGGACTTCCTGGTCAATCTCCTCCTGGCTCTGGCCATCTACAAGACCAGGAAGGAGGCTCTGGTAGGGAGAAACCCTGGTGAATGTTGGGCTGCCTTCCTGTCACTCCTCCTACTCACATCTCCACGCAGGTCATCATCCACAGCTCCCTCAACTCATGCAGGGGGCAGTGGGTGCTGGCTGGTGTGTTCTGCTCAATGTCGCCTTCCAGATCACTTGTTATTAACCAATGACCTGTGTCACATGTTGGCAGAAAGTGAATGCTGAAAGGGAGAGTGAACTGGGGATGACCAGGTTTTTTCCCGCTGTTCCTCTTACTTGCAGCTTCCAGCTCTTAAGGTCTAGGAAGTTCCAATTCAGAGGCCAGTCCCTTTAATCTGGCGAAACTGTCAGCTGCCACACCATCTGGTGGCAATGAGTTACACACTTTTATCATATGCTATGTGGACAACCAAAAAAAACCCCAAACAAAACCAAAAAAAACCCCAATAACCACCCCCCGAAATCCGCAACCCATCCCCCAAAAAACCCAAACCCAGCCCCTCAACTTCCTTTTGCTAGTTTTAAATGTATTACCTACTAGTTTCATTTTATGACCCTTAGTTGTTGTAATATGAGAGATAGTAAATAATAAATCGTTGTTTACTTTCTCTTCACCATTTAGTATTTGTAAATCCATATCATGTCCCTCCTCAGGTGTCTTTATTTCTAAACTGAATAGGCCTAGTTTCTTTAGTCTCTTCTCATCTGAAAGCCCCTGCATACTACTAATCATCTTTGTTGGCCTTCTCAGTACCTTCTCTAGTTCTTTTATATTGTTTTTTGAGGTGTGGGGACCAAAACTGGGCACAGTATTCAAGGTTTGGATGCACCATGGATTCATAAAGGGATATACAGAACGATACTTTTTGTTTTGTATACAATTCCTTTCTTAATAATTCCTAACATTTTGTTTGCATTTTTGATGGCTCCTGAGCATTGAGCAGATGTTTTTCATGAACTGTCTACAGTGACTTCCAGATCTTTTTTCCTGTGTGGTAACAGTTAATGTGGAGCCCATCATAGTAAAGGTATATTTTGGATTTTTTTTCCCATGTACATCACTGTACATTTATCTACAATGAATTTCATCTGCCATTTAGTTGCCCATTCACTCAATAGTGCCAGATCCTTCTTTATTTCCTCCCCCTACCCCACAAGGCTGTCAAGGCTTTGTAACTCCTTCAGTTTGCATGGCATTTTGGCCCTGTGAGGGCTTGTTTACGGGCTCATTATATTAACCCATTCACTATGAATGTGACTTTGGAATTCCAGGTATGCAAAAGGCATCAGTACAATCATACTTACACAGCTTGCTTACTAGATACACAAACATCTGTGTGTGCGCATGTGTGCGAAACAGTAAGAGTATGAGAAAGAAAGAGATGTTTCCCTCTAATCATTGGACTCCAAACTTAAACTTTTAGTTGAAAGAGTTTGCCTTTCATTTAAATAGCAAAGACTTTGGCTGTTGGAGATGAGAGAAAACACCTCTAGTTCCACTCGCCCAGGGGCGTATGGTTTATGTGGAGACTGTGCCTGTTGTCTGTAGCATGAAGGTAATGCATCCTCTCCCCACTCTCTTCACAACGGGGTGAGTAGAGTCTTGTACATAACTCAAAGATGTATGTGTACACATGAAGACAAAAGACAGGTTCCCTCTCTACGGCACTTGCTGAATATACCTGGTAAAGGAGGTGTGCCACACTTTTTGTCTTTGTTGCTTATTGTTGTTAACATCTATAGGTCTAAACCATTTTGAGAATTCATTATGCTAACGGTTGTCCAATCATATAGTAAGTGATAGTCTCTGTCCCAACAGACTAGTATTGCCAAAACTCATGAACCAAACCATAGGTGATGACTTTTATTTTTGCCATGATGGACACGTGAAAAGTGGTATGCATTTCAGGTGACAGCCCTCTTTCCAAGGAGGGCCAGGGCCCTCAGGCCTCCACATACTTGCTCTGAATCAGAAAGAACCACTTCCAAAAAACAGAAGAAAAGAAAACACAAGAAAACCGAACCTATAAGACTGATTTCAGTAGTCATGAGATTTTCATTTTAATTTGCCTTCCAGCTTCTAAGATTTACAGGTATGAGGGCTAGAATTTTAAGCCTAAATCCTCTTTCATTTCTAAGGCGCTGAAGTGGTGTTTTCTGAGTGCAGTCCTATTCCATTCTGCTCAAGTCCCTGAGAAAACATCAGTGAGTCAGCTTTTGTAAGACACCTCCATCTTAGCCTTGAGTTTAAGTCACAAAAAGCAGCAAGGAGGAGAAGGACCCACCTGGGGCTTCAATCCCAGGGCTCAGTCCTTGTGCCCGTATTGTTTAACATCTTCATCAGCGACTTGGACAAGGGGGTGGAAAGCACGCTGTCCAAGTTTGCTGATGACATTAAGATGTGGGGTGAGGTGGACACACTTGAAGGGAGAGAGAGGCTGCAACTAGATTTAGAAAGACTACAAAAGTGGGCAGACGAGAATAGGATGGGGTTCAACGTAGACAAACTCAGGGTGCTGCACCTTGGGAGAAGGAATCCACAGCACACATACAGGCCGGGGAGTTCCCCTCTTGAAAGCACAGAGGTGGAAAGGGATCTCGGAGTCATTATTGACTCCAAGATGAACATGAGCCCCAATGCCAGACCGCAGCCAGCAAGGCCAGCCATACCTTGTCATGCATCCAAAGGTGCATCTCAAGCCAGTCCAGAGACGTGATACTCCCCCTCTATGCGACTTTGGTCAGGCCGCAGTTGGAGTACCGCATCCAGTACTGGGTGCCGCACTTCAAAAGGAATGTGACCAGCCTGGAGAGGGTTCAGAGGAGGGCCACCCGCTTGGTGAGAGGGCAGCAGGACAGGCCCTACAAGGAGAGACTGAGGGACCTGAACCTGTTCAGCCTCAGCAAGAGGAGGCTGAGGGGGGACCTGGTGGCTGCCTACAAACTCATCAGGGGAGATCAACAGCAAATAGGTAGAGCCCTTTTCTCCCCAGCACCACCTGGGGTGACGAGGAACAATGGTCATAAACTGATGGAGAATAGGTTTAGGTTAGAGATCAGGAGACAATATTTTACAGTTAGGATGGCCAAAATCTGGAACCAACTTCCTAGGGAAGTGTTCCTCGCCCCTACCTTGGGCAAATTCAAGAGGAGGTTGGATGATCACCTATCTGGGGTCTTGTGACTTGCTTTCAGGGGGTCAGGCTAGATGATCTGTTCAGGTCCCTCCTGACCCTAGCTACTGTGAAACTACTATGAAACACCTACCCGCCTTTGTATTAATAGTTTTTCACACATTTGGGCTGAGCAGAATAGGTTCAAATTTAGATGCCTAAGTACCAGTTTCGCTTCTTAAAGATGAACTAGGTTTGGGTCCTCCCTTCTTTAATCCAAGTTGAAACTTTCACATGGTTCCAAGAGCTGGCGAAGTTAGAAAAATACCAACGAACATGAGATTTGTGCTAAAATGACAGGAGTTGATAACGCTATAAAATGTGAAGGTCATACCTCCTTCGACAGAGTCAGGACCCCAGGATCCAATTACTGTCTCTTCATATGTTAAAAAGCTTCTCTTCTATCCCAAATTATCTATGCTGTTAAAAGACCATGCAAGGGGACACCATGATGAATCACATGGCAGTGGTACTACAGCCACCTTAGTGCAGCACCATGTTATGTGCCAATAAGCACATCCAAAAAGTCTAGTATATATATGAAATTAGTGTGAAATATTTTACTCCGGCACTTACTGCCATGCTCCTTTTATAGTGTGGACTGGATATGCTCTCAATGGTGCACACTTAAAATTAAACTACACTATACAACTCGATAATTTATGGATGCTCATGTTCTATGTTTTCTCGTATAATATGCATTGTATTTATTTTTCTGATAGGAGCCAAATATATTTTGCATTCAAGTTCCAAATCACTTACTGAACCACTCTCTTGACCTTGGGCAGACTGCTTGACTTTCTTCTTGCTCTTCACTCATCATAGCAGTGGGCGAAAGGCATTATAAATTATAAGTAACATCATTGCCATTCTGGCTCTGTTACAGAAAAGACGCTGCATGGGGCGCTTAGACTTGAAGAGGGGCTTGCTTGCTTCATATTACATGTCAGGGAAGAAGCATCAGATATGGCTGTTGCACAGGCAAGGAAAGTAGTATCTTAGTGAAGGGTGGAATAACAAAAGCAGCTGATAGCAAATGCTGTCTGTTTTAGCCTATGTAGGAATACTGTTGTCAGATAAATCTGAGGAATATTGTTGTCTAATTCTAAAAATCTTTATTATTCATAGTTTCACAGCACTCTGGGAAATTCAGAGGGTTTGATTCCTTCTTGCAACTGGCAGCCTGGGTCTGTCCCATATTACAGATGTTTGGGGCTGCTTAACCATATGCCACTTCCGTAGGGTCCTTAAGGAGCTTCTTCCAAAGAAGAAGCCCCCAACATGTCTGTCTGATGTTTCCCACCCAGCCTGTCTCTGACACCAGGGGGAGTGCAGGAGTCAGTTATGCCAGGAGAAAGTTTTACAGTCCAATGAACCCTCAAATTTGGCCATTTACTTGTTTAATGAACAGCACAGAGTGACCAGAAAGGATATT